TTCTTTTTTTTCATTCTCATCAACGGCTGTCTTTTCTGTGATCTTTCTCTTTTTTTCTTTTTTTCATTCTCATTCTGTCTTTCTGTGATCTTGTCTCTCTTTTCTTTTTTTTTTTTTCATTTCTCATCAACACTGTTCTTCTTTCTTGATTCTTATTCTTTTTTCTTCTCTTTTTCATTCTTTCTTTTTTTGTCTCTTTTTCATTTTTTTTCATTCTTCAATTCTTTCTTTCTTGTCTCTCTTTTCTTTTCTTTTTTTTTCATTTCATTTCTTCTTTTTCATTTTTGTCTCTCTTTTTTATTTCTTTTTCATTCTTTTTTTTGTTCTCATCAACGGCTTTTCTTTTTTTTCATTCTCATCTTTTCTTCTTTTTCTTTTTCTTTTTTTTTTTTTCATTCTCATTCTTTTTCTTTCTGTGATCTTGTCTCTCTTTTTCTTTTCTTTTTTCATTCTCATCAACATTCCTGTCTTTCTTCTTGTCTCATTCTTGTTTTCTTTTTTCATTCTCATCATTCTTTTTTTTTCATTCTCATTTTTTTCTTTCTTTTTCATTCTCATCTTGTCTTTCTTTTTTTCTTTTTCTTTTTTTTTTTCATTCTCATCAACGGCTGTCTTTCATTCTTGTTCTCTTTTCTTTTTTTTTTCATTCTCATTCTGTCTTTCTGTGATCTTGTCTCTCTTTTCTTTTTTTTTTTCATTCTCATCAACATGTCTTTCTTATTCTCTTTTCCTTTCTTTTTTTTCATTCTCATCAACGGCTGTTTTTATTCTGTTCTTGTCTCTCATTCTTTTCTTTTTTTTTCATTCTCATCAACATCTGTCTTTTCTTTCTTTCTCTCTTTTCTTTTTTTTTTTTCATTTCATCAACTTGTCTTTTCTGTTTGTCTCTCTTTTTTTTTCTTTTTCATTCATTCTTCAACGGCTCTTTTCTTTTCTTGTCTCTTTTTTTCTTTTCTTTTTTTTCATTCTCATCAACGGCTGTCTTTCTTCTCTTGTCTCTTTTTCTTTTTTTTTTTTCATTCTCATCAACATTGTCTTTTCTTGTTTCTTTTCTTCTTTTCCCTTTTTTTTTTTTTCTTCATTTCATCAACGGCTGTCTTCTTCTTTCTCTTTCTCTTTTTTTCTTCTTTTTTTTTTTTTTTTTTTTTTTCTCATCAACGGCTGTCTTTTCTGTTCTTGTTCTTTTTCTTTTCTTTTTTCATTTTCATTCTCATTCTTTTTCATTCTTTCTCTTTTTCTTTTCTTTTCATTTTTCTTTTCATTCTGTCTTTCTTGATCTTTTTCTTTTTCTTTTCTTTTTTTTTCATTCTCATTCTTTTTCTTTCTTATTCTTTTTTTTCATTTTTTTTTCATTCTCATTTTTTCATTTTTTCTTTTTCATTCTCTCAATTCTTTTTTTCTTTTTTTCATTCTTTTCATCAACATTCTTTCTGTGATTCTTTTTCATTTCTTTTCTTTTTTCATTCTCATCAACGGCTTTCTTTCTTATTCTTTTCATTTTTTTTCTTTTTTTTTCATTCTCATTCATTTGTCTTTCTGTTCTTGTCTCTTTTTCTTTTTCTTTTTATCTCATTTCATTCTTTCATTCTTTTCTTTTTCTTTTCTTTTTTTCATTCTCATCAACGGCTTTCTTTCTTTTCTTTTTTTTCTTTTCTTTTTTCATTCTCATCAACTTTCTTTCTGTTCTTGTTCTCTTTCTTTCTTTTCTTTTTTTCATTCTCATCATCTTTTGTCTTTCTTATTCTTTTTCATTTTATTCATTCTTCATCAACGGCTGTCTTTCATTCTCTTGTCTTTCTTTTTTTTCTTTTTTTCATTCTCATTCTTTTCATTTGTCTCTTTTTTCTTTTTTTTTTTTCATTCTCATCAACGGCTTTCTTTCTTTCTCTTGTTTTTCTTTTTTTTTTTTTTTTCATTCTCATCAACTCTCTTTTCTTTCTTTTCTTTTTTCTTTTTTTTTTTTTTTCATTCTCATCAACGGCTGTCTTTCTCTTGTCTCTCTTTTCTTTTCTTTTTTTTTTCATTCTTGTCATTCTCATTTGTTCTCTTTTCATTTTTTTTCTTTTTCATTCTCATTCTTTTCTTTCTTGTTTTTTTCTTTTCTTTTTTCATTCTTTCATTCTTTCTTTTCATTCTTTTTCTTTTCTTTTCTTTTTCATTCTCATCTTTTTTTTTTTTGTTTTTTTTTTTTTCATTCTCATTCTTTTGTCTTTCTTCTTCTTTCATTCTTTTCTTTCTTTTTCATTCTCATTCTTTTCTTTTTTATTTGTTTCTCTTTTCTTTTCTTTTTTTTTCTCATTCTTTTTCATTCTTTTCTTTTTCATTTTTTTATTCTTTTTCATTCTTATTCTTTTTCATTCACATTCTTTTTCATTCTTATTCTTTTCATTCACATTCAACGGCTGTCTTTTCATTCTCTTTTCATTCTTTTTTTTTCTTTTTCATTCTCATCATTCTTTTCATTCTCTTGTTTCTCATTCTTTTCTTTTTTTTCATTCTTATTCTTTTCTGTCTTTCTTTTCTTGTCTCTCTTTTCTTTTCTTTTTTTCATTCATCATTCTCTTTCTTTTTTTTTCTTTTTCATTCTTTTCTTTTTCATTCTCATCAACTTCTTTCTGTTCTTGTTCTTTTCTTTTCTTTTTTTTCATTCTCATTCTTTTTCATCTTTCTGTCTTTTCTCTCTTTTCTTTTCTTTTTTCATTCTTTTCATTTTCTTTTCTTTTTCTTTTCATTCTTATTTTTCATTTCATTTTTTCATTCTTATTTTTTCTTTTTATTCTTTTTCATTCTTATTCTTTTCTTTTTTTCATTCTTTTTCTTTTCATTCCCATTCTCTTTCATTCTTATTCTTTTTCTTTTTTTTTTTCTTTTCATTCTCTGTGATTCTTTCTCTTTTTTTTTTTCTTTTTTCATTCTCATCAACGGCTTTCTTTCTTCTTTCTTTTCATTCTTTTCTTTTTTTCATTCTCATCAACGGCTGTCTTTCTCATTTGTCTTCTTTCTTTTTTTTTTCTTTTCATTCTCATTCTTCTTTCTGTTTTCTTGTCTTTTTTTCATTTTCTTTTTTTCATTCTTTTTTATTCTTTTCATTCTTTTTTCTTTTTTTTTTATTCTTTTCATTCTTTTTTCATTCTTGTTCTTTTTCTTTTTCATTTTTCTTTTTCATTCTTATTCTTTTTTCATTCTCATTTTTTTTTTTTCATTCTCATTCTTTTCATTCTTTTTTTCTTTTCTTCTTTTCATTCTTTTTTTTCATTCTTATTTCTTTTTTTCATTCTTTTTCTTTTTCATTCTTTCATTCTTTTTTTCTGTCTTTTTTCATTCTTTTCTTTTCTTTTTTTTCATTCTTTTCATTGTCTTTTTCTTTTCATTCTTTTCTTTTCTTCTTTTCATTCTCATTCTTTTTTTATTCTTTTCATTCTTATTCTTTTCATTTTTTTCTTTTTTCATTCTTATTCTTTTCATTTTTCTGTGATCATTCTTTTTTCATTCTTTTTTCTTTTTTTCATTCTCATTTTCTTTTTTTTTATTCTTTTTTCTTATTCTTTTCATTCACATTCTTTTTCATTCTCATTCTTTTTCATTCCCATTCTTTTTCATTCTTATTCTTTTCATTCTTATTCTAGATCATTCTCATTCTTTTCGTTTTTATTCTTTTTCATTCTCATTCTTTTCGTTTTTATTCTTTTTCATTCTTATTCTTTTCATTCACATTCTTTTTCATTCTTATTCTTTTCGTTTTTATTCTTTTTCATTCTTATTCTTTTCATTCACATTCTTTTTCATTCTTATTCTTTTCGTTTTTATTCTTTTTCATTCTTATTCTTTTCATTCTCATTCTTGTTCATTTATTTTCTCTTCGTTTTCATTCTCTTTCATTCTTATCTTTTCATTGTTATTTTATTCACTTATTCTTTTATGTTTTTCTTCTTCCTCATACTTATTCTTATTCACACTTATTCTTTTAATTTTTATTCTGCTTCACCTTTATTCATTCCATTTTTATTTTTCTTCATTCTTATTCTTGTTTATTCTGATTTTTTCTGCTTATTCCTTTGATTCTTATTCCTTCAATCTTCATTCTTATTCTTATTCGTTCTAATTCCTTTCATTCTTATTCTTTTCATTGTCATTCTTATTCTTGTTCATTTTTATTCTTTCTGCTGTTCCCTTCTTTTACGCTGAATCAAAGACGCGCGAAAAACTAATCAATAATTTTACACAGTAGAAAGAAAAAAGAAACACAGATATTTTCGCATTACTTCTGTTCGATTGAGTGAAATGAAATAATCGACTCAGACCTCTTCACCTTCTTTTCTAGAGATCGACCACGCATTGCTGTCAAAAAAAATCTAAAGACAAAGGAACAGAAATAATTTTAGGTTCTGGGTTGGAGATTATGGGGGCATTAAATCGTGGATGCTGTGTTCCGTGAACATTTAAAATAGTTACACAACGACTGAGCTTTTTAAGATGGCATCTTTGATTCAAGATGGCGTCTGAGACTTTAACAAAAGAATGTCTGCAAGAGAAAGTAGAAAAATCTCTGTAACAAACAATCAAATACACTTTTATCCAATTGATTTTAACTAAACATTCGATAAAAAAGGCGAGAAAGAAAAGTTGTTTATCACAGAACGGGGTGGCCCAAACGGGTAGAACGGTGTGAAAATTTGAGTTATGGTTGAGATCGAATGTATTCGCAACATTATCGTATTTTCTTTGATTCGATTCAATATAATCGCGACATTTTTTTTATAAATCTTATGGATTTATTGGTGAAAACTATGACAAGACAAAAAAAAAAATAAAATAGCGTTGTTGCTATGAATTCAATATTTTTTTATTATCTTCATTTGTTTTCGTCTTCTTTGTTTATATCTCATCATTAACAATTTTCTTATTAATAGTAAGGCTGGAGTGTACACTTTAATGAATATGAACAAATGACAATAGATTAGAATGGTTTGGATTGTCGAACGAAGATTTGAGGGGGGCTTCTACGCACGATGCTGACCCCAGGTGAATGGTAAAGCAACATAAGGAAGAAGTATGGTTTTCTGTGCAAAATGGAATACTATCGAAATGGCGTCCAACTTACAGAGTAGCACATATGAACATGATAGATAGATAGATAGATAGATAGATAGATAGATAGATAGATAGATACGAACAGGCTGAGATAGATACGAACAGGGTGAGATAGATAGATAGATAGATGAATAGATAGATAGATAGATAGATAGATAGATGGATAATAGATACGAACAGGGTGAGATAGATAGATAGATAGATAGATAGATAGATGAGATAGATAGATGATTAGATGAATCAGGGTGAGATAGATAGATAGATAGATAGATAGATGAATGAATAGATAGATAGATAGATAGATGAATACGAACAGGGTGAGATAGATAGATGAATAGATAGATAGATAGATAGATAGATAGATAGATAGATGAATACGAACAGGGTGAGATAGATAGATAGATAGATAGATAGATAGATAGATAGATAGATAGATGGATAGATGCAAATGGATGAATAGATACGAACAGGGTAGATAGATAGATGAATAGATAGATAGATAGATAGATAGATAGATGAATAGATGAATACGAACAGGCTGAGATAGATACGAACAGGCTGGAATAGATAGATAGATAGATAGATAGATAGATAGATAGATAGATACGAACAGTCTGAGATAGATGTGTGTGTGTTTTCCATTATATTTTGCACACACACACACACACACACACACATATATATATATATATATATATATATATATATATATATATATATATATAAGTATATCCAAATGAAAAAGCGATGCCTATGGTTTAAAATCCATTTTATATCTTTGTGTAGCTTTTATTTTAGTTTTAGAATAGATTAGATTTAATACTTCCAATAAGCAAAATACTTTTTAAGCTAAATTTAAATCGATTGGATAGAGGTTTTTTACAAGTAAAAATGCTGAAATCGTCCATATTGTCTAATCTGTCAACACAACGTAATTCTTCTAATTAAAAAGTCTTTCAAGAATAAAAAATATTTTTCTGAAAAGAAAAAAGAAGCGGAAGATTAACTGATTTAATGATTAATTAGTCCGATTTGAAATAAATATTACTTTTAGTTTAAAAAAATCCTATAAAAGCATTTTATAGTGGTTACTGAAAAGTGTCTTGATTACAGCGGGGTTAAAAACTCTCTAGATAAACGTATGTGTGGGAATTTTTTCTATTAGTAACAATTACTTGAATATAACGTGAAAGCTTTTTATATAATTTTTCTAGGCAGTCTAATATTACATTGAATGCTAGGTACTTTGGCATTAAAATGCATTTTGAAGAAATTTGAGAAAATTTGCAATAAATTTTACATTTATTATAGTTACAGCTCTTATTTTCTAATAATGTCACTTTTGGAGATCCGTATTTACAAAAATTGACACGTTTATACATATATAAAATAAATCCAAAATTCTTTGAATTGAAATAAGCTTTTCTATTTATGATTCGCAAATACAGTCTTAATTTAATTAAATTAAACTTAATTTAATTAAATTAAGCTTAATTTAATTGCCCATAACATATTTTATACATAAAAATAATTAAAAGTTTTTTTTAAGTAATGACGTTTTAGTTTTATTGAATTGTTTTACGATTCAGAGCAGATTTGCTCTAACTGAGAGTCCTGTTTGACCAAAAAGAAATCATGATTTAAATTCTCACTTGAAATATTTGAACTTTAGCGTTGCGACTTGCACATTTCAATATTATAAAACCGTTAACAAATAACACATTCTTGAAAAAAAAACATCTTTCGGTCAACAATACATTTATTTCGTCTTCGAGTTTTGATTTTAAAGAAAAAAATTACAGCCTGATGATGATGACATGAAGTTCTTGAAAGTACTTGCTGCTCTAAAAAATACACCAGATCAATCTGACAACAATTTTATACATAAGGATCGCATCATACAGTGGATTGTTAGTAGTTTAATGCTTATATTAAGTCTGTTAGCGAAGAGATTTCGCCATGAATTGCATTAATATTGCTAATTGATTCAATGTATGATTATCTTTATAATATATATATATATATATATATATATATATATATATATATATATATATATATATATATATATATAGGTACATCTTCTATGGATGATATTTATTTAACTGTTGCATATTATTTACCAAATAATTCTATATATTTAGATTATTTACTAGTTTCTTAAAGAAGCATCTTATTTATCAACTATAAAAAAAAAATTATCTAGGAAATCAACAAAGTTGGGCATTCAGTCATATTACTTCTCTACCCACCCCCGCTTTTATTTCTTATGAAAGTTGACGGCCTGGCATGTGTACATTTATTGTAACCATTTGTATCAGTCCTTAAGTTAATGTCTAGATGCTGTTAGATGTCAAATCTTGGCAATTTGTAAAATAATCGTTTTTTTTATTTTTTTTTCATTTTCGTTTAGTTTGAATTTAACGTGGGTCATATTCGATTGTTTGATCAGAAGAGAACCCTCAAGCCTCATTTTTGAAAAAAATGAGGATGTATTTTGCTTTTGAAACCAAATTAATTGTTCACTCTCCCGTAATTTACAATCGCTTGTGGAGTCGCATCGTTATGCGTTGAAACATGACTATATATATATATATAATATTACAACAAAAACATGTAAAATCCTACACAATTGCAGTCACACACACATATATATATATATATATATATTTATTAAAGACATTTTTAGGTTTAACGTTCTTTTTTATAGATACAAGTATTTAAGTAAATGCTCTGTTTATAATAAACAGCCTTAAATAACATTTCCCGGCCTGAATGTCCGAACTTTTCATAGGAAATATTCGTCCTTGACAATTTTCGAACCTGCATCCTATATATAATCGTCATTTACGCTGACGTTTATTAACCGACAGTTTACGTAAATAGGTTGCGAGTTGTATCTATCAAAAGAACGTTAAAATATAAAAATGTGTTTAAATAAATAAACTGTCTTTAAAAACTTTGTTCCATTTCTTATATATATATATATATATATATATATATATATATATATATATATATATATATATATATATATATATATATATGCGAACTCGAGAAAACTTAATACAGCAAAATATGCTCGTTGTCAGGGTTCGAGCGTCCTTCACTCGTTGTAGGATCAACCATCGTTGGGTCAGGTGTGCTTTATACCACTCAGCCACCGATAGCGTCACAGGCCGGCATGGTTATCTCCTCCTTAATGTCTGGCTGCTTTTAGATTTCAAATTTTGGCATTGACACATTTCTAAGATAATAATTTCTAATTTTTTTTCATTTTCGTTTAGTTTGAATTTAACATCGCTCACATTCGATTGGTTGATCAGGGTAAAGCCTCAAGCCTCATTTTTCAAAAAATGAGAATGTATTTTGCTTTTGAAACCAAATTAATCCTACACTTGCTCGTAATTTACAATCGCTTGTTGAGACGCATCCTTATGCGTTGAAACATGACTGCCTGCACTTGTGTAGCGATTCTTACATATTTTTTTGTTGTATATATATATATATATATATATATATATATATATATATATATATATATATTTGGGAAAGGCATGAATCCACTTCTTCTTTCCCAGCTATGGGTTAAATAGTAAGACAAATATAACTGAACCATTATCTTCTCACAAAGAAGAAACTCTTTAAATCGCAAAATATTTTCTGGCTGCAAATAATAAATAAACTGGAAAGGGTTGATAACCCGTCAAAAACGAAATAATCCATGAAATTGCATGTTACAGTTTACAATTGAGTTTTACAACAAAGAATCGAAACTTGCATGTTCAAGAATATTTATCAAACAAAAACAAAACAAAAAATATTAAAATATTGTTTTTGGTTCATTTTTATTAGGTTTATATGTAAATATATATTGTAAATAAATGTAAAGAAAAATTTAAGATATAAGTTCCAACTTCATACTTCATATATATATATATATATGTGTGTGTGTGTGTGGTGCAGTTCAATTTATATTGCAATGAATCATTCATACAAAAACTATTTAGTTCATGCCACATTGACTGACATATATATATATATATATATATATATATATATATATATATATATATATATATATATGCACGTTTCGTTAAAACGACAGACAAGGTACTACAGTTGAGCTTTTTTATTTAATTTTTCTTGTGTTCTGACAAGAGCTTTCTTTTCTGGACAAAGAGTGTGTAAGAACTGTCCGAATGTTCTGTTTTTCCGAGCGCTTTCGGCTATACTTTTAGCCATTATCAAGGATGGTTCAATGATGGATATTCATTATCAAGTAGAGTGTGTGTTCTATGTATGTTCAGTGTGTGGTAGTGATGTTTTAGTTTCCGAATACAGTTAGCAAATTGTGGCTTTGTTCATAATTGATATTGTTAAGAGTTGGCTTTTTCTTTTTTATTATTAGAGCTTCCATTATTTTTAGTCTTTTTTTTTGCAAGTGGATGCAGTTAATATATTAGTGTTTTCTACTAGTATGTTCCTAATAGTGTCGGGTAAATCTGAGTGTGTGTTTAAATGTGTTCTGATGGAACTGTGATCAGATAGGTGTAATGTAAGACGTCTGGATAAACATGTGGTTGTGTAGCCGATGTAATTATTTATGAGTCCGGTTTGGTGAGGAACGCAGTTCCTTAAAGGGCATTTGAACTCATAGATAATGTTCGCTCTTTTGTAATTTTGACTTCGTTGGTGTGTTGTTATTTTTTGAGGATAAGGTTGGCCGTCTTAAATTTTTTATAATAGATAATAAGTTTGATTTTTTTTATCCGGGTCAATAGGAGTAGTATATTTCTTTATAATATGTCTTAGAGCAGATTCATCTTGCTTGTAATTAATATGCATTTGGTTTTTTGTAATAAATGTGTATGTGATTTTTTTTATTTATGTTCATATCATTATTATATGCTTTGGGGAGGAATATTCTAATTTGTTGGTCTATAAGGTAGTTAGGGAAACCGTTGTTAATTAGTGTTTGTTTAACGTTGTTAAGTTCTTTGAAAAGAGTAGTCGAGAGGATGAGTTCTGGTGGGCTCTATTTAGAAAGTTTTTATTACAGCTATTTTGTACCTAAGTGGACATTCGCTTTTGAAATTAAGGTGGCACGAGTTTTTTGCTGGTGGGTTTTTTGTATAATGATGTAATGAAAGTGTTATTGTTATGTTCAACGAGGATATCTAAGAATGGTAGTTTGTTTTTTTTGGCTAAGTTCATATGTAAAATTAAGGACGGAGTTTTTCTCAAATGTGGTCTTAAACTGTCTCTATTTCTTTAATGTTATCAGCTAAAATGAATATATCATCTACATAGCGAACAGATTTTCGGTTTGTGGACCTGTGTAAATATGGTATTTTCTACGTAGGACATATAATAGTTAGAGAAGCATGGACCCAATGGATTTCCCATACTAACACCATTAGTTTGGGTATAAATATTGCCATTATGGTCATAGAAGGGACTTTGGTTGTGCATGCGTGTAGTAATTTTTTTAGGATAGGTGGTTTGATGGATGGCGGAGGGATGGAATTATTATTGTATATAGAGTTGAGGATAATATCGATAGTTTTATCAACAGGGACGTTTGTGAATAAGTTTTCAACGTCCAGTGACGCTATTATACCTTGATTTGTTCCATTTGTAGTTTTTAAAATTTGTAGGAATTCGTGGGTGGAGGTGATGCTGTAATTGGTAGGTAGGTATGGAGTGATGATATCGTTAAGGAATTTTGATAGCTCGTAGATAGGTGTTGGTATCTGGGAAATAATTGGTCGTAGCAGGTATCCTGGTTTATGTGTTTTATGTTTCCATATAGGTATCCCGGTTGGTAATCTCCAACTATTTTTTGAATTTTCAGGAATCGACTTCCGCGTTGTGAGCTGTTATTAGCTTGTTAACAGACCTTTTTAAATTCTCAGTGGGATTTCGTTTCAATTTGGTGAATTTAGATCGGTCATCAACGATATCTTTTAATTTTTGCTATATATATATATTATTAATGGAAATCTTATAAGTATAAGAAACTATACTCGCTACTGAAAACCTTCGGTATATTGATTTGCAAATAAACAAATCAATACCAAAGGGAAAAAAAAGGTATATAAAAAAGAAAGAACCAAGAACATGTACGTTAACCGAAAATAATCGTTCAGTATACGAGTTCAAGGCCCAAAGAAAAAAAAACCCGATGCGAGTACCCAAAACAACTAAATAAGGTGCTCAATACAATGAATAGAGCAGACCTAGTTAAACCTAGAGAGCCAGACAAACCTACCAAGGTTTCACCTAAGCGGATCGTCAGGGTAGGTTTGTCTGTCTCTCTAGGTTTAACTATATATATATATATATATATATATATATGCGAACTCAAGAAAACTTAATACAGAAAATATGCTCATTGTCAGGGTTCGAGCGTCCGTCACCCGTTGTAGGATAAACCATCGTTGGATCAGGTGTGCTTTATACCACTCAGCCACCGATAGCGTCACAGGCCGGCAAGGTTATCCCCTCCTTCAGATGTTCCCGAGTACGCAGGTCGGTAAACGTAACAGGCAGTTTATAAAATAATGGGGTTCGGATATTTCAAACACAAGTATCCACTAAACATAACTTTTTTTTTTCGTTAGGCTACTGACTTTTATGTTTGTGTTCGAATGGCCATCTATAAATATGCGTGCGGACACGTAGTTATTGATTGAATATTGATCTGAAATTTTCACTGTATAATGTTCTCTCTTTGAGATTAATATTCACCAGAGATATAAGTGCTTTGACAAGGACGAAATTTATGTCGAAAAATAAATTGCTTTTTAATACTGTAGAATCCCTCATATCCGGAAATCCTCATATCCGGAAACCCTCATATCCGGACAGGATTTTGATGTGTATATTTGAACTATTTGGATGATATGTAACTGATTTGAAATTTCTGTTTTTCAGGAAATTTATTTTGGATAATTGCTTATGCTTATTTCACTTATTGCAAAAGATGATGGGAATAAGAGGAAATGAACAACTTTGGAGTTATCGCAAAAAGTGGAAATTTTAAAAAGACGAGACGTTGCTGAAAGTTCTTTGTAACTAATGGATGAGTTCAACATAGGAAAATCAACATTATATGAGAAAATCTTCCAAAGAAACTATTCTCCAGCGTTCACATTGTCACAATGAACAAGGAAATAAAAAAAAATATAATTGTGATGAAACCTGGACTGAAATTGAGAAAGCTATTGAAAAGGTTGTCAGTTTTATGGAAAGAAAGCCAGCATTCAGCCATGACGATTGCAATAACGCACGCAGAGTTAAAAAGTGTATTCTGATTAAAGACTTTCAAGAACAAAAGCAAAACGAAATGCGGAAAAAGTTGCGAATGACATTAGAAGAGAAAGAATCATCATGCAACAGAGATTAAAAAAATCCTCGTTACATTATTTGTTTTGCATACGTGGCATACTTGATTTAATGAATTTTCATTAACATGACATAATTTATTTCTTTTTCTATAAAATCAATTTCAAAACATTGAAAATAAATGTTAAATCTGATTTCAGTTCTTTTATTTTAATCTAAATATAACCTCTCATATCTGGACTTTGTAACCAATTCCTCATATCCGGAATCCCTCATATCCGAAATCTCTCATATCCGGACTTTATAAGCAATTCCTCATATTTTACTATAAAACATTGAAAATAAATGTTAAATCTGATTTCAGTTCTTTTATTTTAATCGAAATATAACATCTCATATCCGGACTTTGTAACCAATTTCTCATATCCGGAAGGCCTTCTTCGTCCAGTTGTCAGGGATTCTACTACATTCTAAAAATAGATTTTCAATGAAATGGAAAACTATCAATTTGGAAACTTTTAATTTTTGCCCTTTTAAATAACGACCTGCATTCATACGCATATTTTTTATTGCAATATTTTGATAAAGTCGTTAAGGACAAATATTTAACAATGCAATAAGGAAATACATACTTTATCATGGTGGAATCGCAAGGAGATTATTCAGTTTTTAAATTATAAATTACTGGCAGGATTCTCCCGTTCGCTATTGCTTCGCATAGTAAGATATATTCATTAATTGAAATCTTTGAAACAAAAATTTAAAATAAACATTTCATTCATAAATTGACTTGTTATAGTTAAGGAAAGTTTTACAAATAGATGCCAACTTGTTGAAGGCTAAGTAAGATGCAAATTTCAAACACTTTTCTGCACGAAATAAGACGATATTTCTAAACAGAACTATTTTTGATATGAAAATCAAAACAATCCTTGAATAAAAGAACAGTAATGAAGGACAGTTAATTAATGAAATAAACTTTTTTTTAAATCAATATGCAAATTAGTTAAACCTGAACAGTGATAGTGCCGAGAAGTAAATAATATATAATACAGATGCCTCGTCCACTGCGAGGAAAGTTGGCTCCCTGAGCCGCGCCAGGAAGTTTTTCTCCCCGGAGTCGATCCTCCAGATCTACAAATCAACAATTCGCTCTTGCATGGAGTATTGCTGCCATATATGGTCTGGCGCCCCTTCTGTTTGCCTCGAGGTTCTTGATAGGCTCCAGAAGCGGATATGCAATATGGTTGGCCCTGCACTGGCGTCTCGTCTACAGTCACTTTCTCACAGACGCACCGTCGCCTCCCTCTGTCTGTTCTACAAATACTTTCATGGAAATTGCTCCGAGGAGCTGCATTCGCTGGTTCCCAGACTTCATGAGTTCAAGCGCCCTACGAGGCTGGCATCCCGCTCTCACCCCTTCACTGTCGAAA